CCCTAAACTCTAAACCCTCAAACCCCCCCAGTCCGGTGGGTCCCATATTTCCACAACTTCCATCACCAACTCCTGGCGTGATGATGGCAGTCGCAGTTATCATCCTGGCTATCGACACCGTTATCGCTTGCTTAAGGGCTGCCATGATCAGAGGACTCCTACGATTTAGGCTTTAGGATTTAGGGCTGAATTGAAGGAAGGAGTGGTAGTCACAGTTCTTGTGGGAATACCTTCGCCTCCAAAACCTACTCCTTCTGTAGGGTCCCTACAGATTCTTTATTAGGGTTCAGAATAAACACCTACCAACAATAGGCTATGGTAGTTTCAAGTATTTCCGACTTCAGAAAACTGTCACAGTACTTCACGAGGCTCGACTGCACTGCCCGGAGCAAGCAAAGGCACATTGTTGAACATTTGCATGTTTATCAGGACTCACACCATCCACAATCACCACAACCTAAACCCTAAACCCTAAACTTCCTAAACCGCCAAACCTTAAACCCCTCAACCCTCAGCCCCAAACAACCACCCTAAACCCTGAACCCTAAACCCTAAACCACAACAATTACAGCAGCAAGGACCGTGGATGGGAAATCCCCGACAGCTCCGACCTGCATTGGCTCGCGCGGAGACACGCGAGGCACCTCACCGCGAAGGCTTAGAGTTCAGGGTTCTATACCATAGGGTTTAGGGTTTAGGGTTCGGGGTTCTATACCATAGGTATAGTAGGAAGCATACTATAGGGATAGTAGGAAACCTTAAGTAACTGTATAAACTAATTTAGGGGCCTTGTAATGAGAGTAGGGTTTTAGGGCACTTTATACGAACGTTACAAGAAGGACTCCTCCCCACCCTCCCCACCCCCCCAAAAAAAACAAAATAAAAAAAATAAAAATAAATAGTGTTGGTACGGTAGCTATTTGCTGTAGGCCCCATACAGCATGTTACCTTGAACCTCAGCTGCGAACCTCCTTGCTTTCAAGCCGCGAGGTGACTTTTCCATAAAGAAGGGCCTTAACGGCAGTAAGGGGGGTTTGGAGGTTCTTTTTCATAGCATAATTACCACAAGGAGCCCCAAGAAATAGTATTAGCAAGTATGCAGGGGCATGGGCCTCAGACCCCAACCCGAAACCTTAACCGATTCAGGGGTTTACGGCTTTGAAATTCTTCGCTTGCTCTCTTTCAGGGATTCGTGTTAGGGTCGGGCTTCGTCGAGTTTATCCATGCATCCCTATGCCACAGGAATCTTTTCAGCCCTATACCCTCAACCCTCGACCCTAAATCTCTGAACCCCAAACACGATCAATCCCCAACGCTTCCAAGCTGTGGCAAACCCTGTAAGCTCCTAAGATGACTCATCCTGCACATCAATCAGAGATACGTGCTGTCTGTAACATGCTCATGAACTTTTTGGCTATGAATCCCACATGCGCCTCGTCCCACGGCTCCGGCGCAGCCGCTGATGAAGTTGCCTTTTCAGGCTGCCCGTTCCACGGCTCAGGTGCAGCCGCTGACGAAGTGGCCTTTTCAGGCTGTACCAAAAAATTCTTTCAATTCCTGTTTCGTTCTCAAAATCGAGTCCCAAGTCTTGTCCGTTTCTGACTTGGTCTCGCAACCTTCCAAGGCCTTTTGCAGGCTGTTGAGTTTTTGCTGGAGCATCCTTCTTTGTTCCTGCTGAGCTTGTGTTAAAGATTTCTCAGTTTTCGGCATCAATTCGGGCGGGACTTCTTTCCCCTCCCGTAGCAGCTGCCGTCGTTGCATCCGGCGGCAACTCGACTTCCAGCCTCTGCTCACATACCTATCCGTGATGCCATTGCTGGCTCCTTCTCCGATACCCGGGTCGAAATAGCCCGGCATTTGGCCGGACATATTCGACTGTTGCCATTGCAGGCTCCACCGTGTGCAGCTTTCGACCTCGCGCCAATCACCCAAGCCCGCGCCACCATTCTGCCGTCGCTGATCATGCCAGCCATCATCCTTCCGGTCAGGGAATGTTGCATCCCGAGTCGAAGGATTAGTTTAGTCACAGCAAACAAGTGGAGTGCTCTTCGAACACAGAACCACGCGGTTGCATTCTGCCAGGCTTTGAGGCTTCCTGTCTGAGTCGTGTTCATAAAACAGGAATACCTTTGGAAGCATCTACTTCCCAGGGTCCCTGTCAAGCCAATCCGAATCTATTGGTAAAGCTGTGGAGGGCCACAACAGTCAGTGGCTACTGGACGCAGCATGCTGAGCAATGCCTGCATTGGCTGGACAAGGTGTGTTTCTTGAATGTGCACCCGTCTCCAATAACTACGGTTTTGATTCGTCAAGCAATCAAGGCACTCTCAGATGTGTAAGTTCACAGGACCCTGCGGTTGGCATCGCCCAATCTAGTATTCTTGATGGAAGGTTGTCAACTTGGGCTTTGGTAGCCGCGTTGCAGAGTTGCACGAAACACTTCTCGCGGTACTGCAAAAAACAAACCTTGATCCGACAAGCTTGTTGAGGAGCTGAAGGGTTCCCATAAGGCTTCCTGCAAGGGTTTCTGTAAGCGTTCCTGTCAGGGTACGATATAGTCCTTGGATTACCTGAGCGGGAGCTTCCTGGCTGATTCTTTCGTGGTGAAATCTGAAGGGCCTGACCACAGCTAAGACCATTATCATAAGACTATAAGACTATGTGCGCTATAAGGGAATCTTGTTTCTTATCGTTACAAGTATTGATTCTTCCGACGCGTATGCCATCATCCCCAAACTTTCCCTGAACCCCATTATTCAAAACCTGGAACCTGTGAACCTTCCTGCTCTCATGCCTTCAGGCTTTAGCCGAACCTGTCTAAACCCAGGCCCTAAAGTTCAGAATCAAAACTTCCTAGAGGTGGGGAGCAGAGATTCTGGTTTAGGGGTGTTTTGGAGATTCTTGCAACGGCTTATACTAGAATCCTACGTTCTCACAGTGCGCAAACACAGAAACTGCTCAAGGGCTTGTCATCATTCATCCCCTGACAAGCAAGGGTATTATTTTCCCTACTCTTCAGTGTTAGATGCGGGGCCTCAACAAGTGCCCAGTGCTTGCCATCGTCATGTTAAGCATGGCATCTTCTAGGCCCAGATTTCTATTGCTTGTTTCTGCGATTAGTGTCGTTCATACTACCTTTGCCTTCTTTGTCCTTCCTGTTATGACCATCCTGCTCATGGCGACCCAGACTCTGAAGTAACCAGGGAAAAAAGTATAGACTTTTATTTCATAATGGCTCCCTTAAGGAACGGGTCCCAAAAAAGTATTCAAGTATGGTACTCCCCAAACCCCCAAAAGGATCTAACAAATAGATCCCCTAAGGGGGTTCCTATAAAGTACCCTTTAGTAGTTAGGGTCCCTAATTAGGGGATCTATTTTTTAGATCCCTTTGGGGGTATGGTACTCCAGAACCCGGCTACCTAAGAGATTCATAGAGTCGCGGACCCCACAGGCCACTCGCAGGATCCTTTCCCAGGGACCCCTGATTTTGGCATACGCTCGAAGTCACGGAGACTTCCTGCGCAATATCCTCAATGCCTGACAAACCCAGACCCCCAAAAGGATCTAAAAAATAGATCCCCTAATTAGGGACCCTAACTACTAAAGGGTACTTTATAGGACCCCCCTTAGGGGATCTATTTTTCAGATCCTTTTGGGGGTTTGGGAAATCCTCAATGCCTCACAAAACCGTGCAAGCCTTTCAAGGGCCCCGGTAACACCTTTGTACAAAGATGCTTCCCTAAACCCTAAGCCCTAAACCTTAAACCCTAAAACCCAAAACCCTGAAAACCCTAAAGCCCTAAACCCTAAAACCCTACAGCCCTTCAGCCCTAAACCCTAAAACCCTAAAGCCCAAAAGCCCTAAAATTCCCTCAAGTCCTAAAACCCTAAAACCCTAAGAAATTCCCTACAGTCCTAAACCCTTTCTTAAGAAACCCTGCAAAACCGCGCCTCCAGCCAAAGCTCAGCCGAAGCAGTCTGAGGGGGCGTGTGGAGTTCGGCTTCGAAGATCTGGGAGTTCATACATCTTTGTTTCTGGGGTTTAGGATTTAGGGTTTGGGGTTGAGGGTTTAGGGGTTGGGGTTGAGGGTTTAGGGGTTGGGGTTGAGGGTTTAGGGTTTGGGGTTGAGGGTTTAGGGTTTGGGGTTTAGGGTTTAGAGTGGGGGGTTTAGGGATCTGGGGGTTCAAACATCATTCTTTTTTGGGGGTTTTTAGGGTTTAGGGATCTGGGGGTTCCTACATTTCATACATCTTTTTGGGGGTTTGAGGGTTCATATATCTTTATGGGGGTTTGGGGTTCATACATCTTTATGGGGTCTTGAAGGTTTCGGGGCTCATGCATCTTTAGCTAGGTTGACCCTTTAAAGCCTCTGAACACATCCTTAATAGGATCCTCTTAAGCTCAATATGGTGAAGATGCAACATGTCCCGAAGGCCTGCGTCCAGGGAGAAAAAAGTATAGACTTTTATTTCATAATGGTTCCCTTAAGGAACAGGTCCCCCAAAAAAGTATTCAAGCATGGTACTCCAGAACCCAGGTAGAATTTGGGCTCGTCTGAAGATTTGGAGCTTCCTCCGGCTCCAAGGAAGGAGACGCGATAGTGCCAAGCCTGGTACGTCGTGTCAGACCTGAGCCATGTTAGAGGGGGGGGGCCATGTAGTATATGGGGTTTCGGGGTTCGGGTTTGGTGGGTATCAGCTGCTTTTTTGACATCCTTTCTCCCAGCACAGCTCCAGCGCATTACTAAAAGATGCCGGTATCGCCCAGCTTCCGGCCCGAAACGACACGGGGGCGTAGTGGTGGTGTTCACGATTCACAGATCTGTAGCGGGGTTTCTTGCGTCCCAAATCCTAACCGGCCCTAAACCCTAAACCCTAAACCCTATATGCCCTACAACCATAAAGCCCTAAGACTTAACGGCCCTGAACCCTAAACCGTAAACGGCTCTAAACCCTAAATCCCGAACCCTAAAGGGCCTTTAACTCTAAACCCTGGCGAAACCCACGAAATCCTGTACAGCTAAACTCTAGCGTTATTACCATGAGTTTTATGGCCAACTCGAAATAGCGATTATGACTAAAATTATGACTATTCGTATTCTTCGTATTAGGATCATTGTTGTTATGCTTGTTATTGGTGGTAGTAGGAACAGCTGTGGCATTTCGACCATCCTTCCTATTGTTATCATCAGTTATCACTGTCATTTTTTCTGGCGCAAGACCAGCCAGGAGAGAGCCGATGACTGCTGAGAAGCTCACGGACTTGGGCTTCAGAACTGTGCTCATCACAGTAGGGGCGGAAGGTGCTGCTTTCAGTTTGGATGCGGTTTGTGGTTTCGGGCTTGGGGTTTTAGGGTGTAGCAGTTTTGGGGGCAGAGTCATCATGCTGGCAACATCTGCATCTAGCAACAGCAGCAACACACAGTTTGACTGATTGGGGTGTCGGGAACACAAGTAGACCACGGTAGCCAAGAGTAGCAAGGATCGCCAGAATAGTTTTCTGCTCCCTAAACCCTAAACCCCTAACCCCTAAACCCATCACTTTCTGCTGCAAGCCTGAAGGTGCACAGCTCCTGGATATGGCGGCGCTGGTCCTCGCCTGCGGAGGTCCGGCACTACTACAGAGTTTAGAGCTTAGGGGTGTAGGATTTAGAGTTTAGGGTTTATAAAGCGCTTAGGGCTTAGGGTTTAGAGTTTAAGGTTTAGGGCTTAGAGTTTAAGGCTAAGGGTTTTGGGTTCAGGGCCCAACCCAAAAACACAGCAGGATTCAGGGTTTAGGGTTGAGGGCTCAGGGTTTATCATGCATATACCTACTGCTGAGGATGCCTAGAGAGCCTCTTGATTATTGAAATTAGGGTTTGGGGTTTAGGGTTTCCTTGCCTTGAATGCGAGCCTGAAGAATTGCAGGCAGACGCTAGGGTACCCTACTCTATCAGTTACAGTGTAATAAATCAGTTACTATCAGTTTTATCAGACAATGTAGGGGCCTTGATAATTAGAATAGGGTTTGGGGGGGTATATTATACTCTATCTATAATCAGGAACCCACAGAATAGTATAGGTAACTATCAAGGTCGCTATATTACCAGTTGCTGTATCCGTCTGGATCTTCCAGACAGTAGAGCCTGTCACCAAAAAATTATGACGAACCCTCGCACCCACAGGGCTGTCGGACTGCCAAAAAAAACGAAGAGAGCCAAACTCCTCATCCGCAGACTGAAACCTTTGCCTGGTTTAGGGCTTGGGGTTTTCCTACCCTAAACCCCTAAACCCCTAAACCCCTAAACCCCTAAGCCCCCTAAGCCCCTAAACCCCAAACCCTACACCCCTAAACCCCTAAACCCCTAAAAAGCAAGCTTAGGATTGGGTTCCCAGTCCTCTGGATAGGATCCGGCCCAACAGGCCGCCGAAGGACGCGAACCTGGGCTTACTGCGGTTTAGGGTTTAGGGTTTAGGAGTTTAGGGTTTAGGGGTTAGGGTTTAGGGTTTAGGGTTTGGGGTTTAGGGCTTAGGGTTTAGGGGTTTAGGGGTTAGGGGAATAGGGTTTAGGGTTTAGGGTTTAGGGTTTAGGGCTCAGGGTTCCTTTGGTTTAGGGGTTTTGGGGAACAGAGGGTTTAGTTCAGGGATTTGGGGGTTTATGGCTTTCTAGCTTAGGGTCAGTTCA